GGAATTTGGACTCCAGCAGAGAACGTTACAAGGGTGAAAAGACTTTTTGAAAATTAATATGAGTAAATGATAAAGTGACACAGAAAAGCTTGCCCTTCTGAAAAAAATTTCCCAATGATCCTTTTCAGGTGAATTTTTGAAAACAAACTGATAAACTTTGGAAAAATACCTTCATTTGTACACTTGCATGTCTAAAACATAACAATTTAATTTACATTTTACACTTTGAATGTTTAAAGACTCTTTGTTTGGCTGAGCAGCGGTGGTGCATGCCTTTAATCGCAACACTCAGGAGGTGGAGCCAGGTAGATCTCTGTTAGTTCGAGGACAGCCTGGTCTACAGAGCCAGATCCAGGACAGGCACCAAAGCTACACAGAAAAATCATGTCTCGAAAAGCAAACAAACAAACAAACAAACAACCAGAAAGAAAATAAATAAATAATAAATAAATAAATAAATAAAAGGACTCTTTGTTTACAGAAATAAAGAAGTAAAGCGAATAAACATTTCATGTGTTAAAAGAATACAGCAAGCCCTCCCAATCAAGAAGCACAAGCTTATAGCTCTCTCCTGCAGGCACTGCCTATTTGGGCAATGACAGTGTGAGGTGCATCCTATTTATACCAATATTGTGTGGCCTAAACACTATGATTTATCAAACAGATAATATAACTGAACAAAATGTAATGCACAGGGACCTGGAAGTCTTAGTAGTTTCTCACAGTTTTTGGAGCACTTGAATCTAAGTCTCACATTCCCAGAATTCTAAGAATCTTTCACCATTGCCTAATTAATAAAACCTTCCTTTGAAAGTGTGTAATGGGGAGAATGCTTCAATTGACCGTCACCATTGTCAGAATGTGCATCCAATAACATCTCTGTACCATGAAACAGCACAATCCTGAAGGCCTCTGATCAGACAATAATTAGAATCAGACTTATGATAGGACTGCTGTAAATAATTCATTGGTTCCATCCATTAGATTATGGTTCTGTTTTGGTATGTATTTAATTTTGGTATGGATGGTGATATATTTACTGAAATACATTTTTAGTATCAATTTGAGTTAAGCAAACTATGTATTAGAGAATGTGTCTCAGGTTCATTTTGTCTGTGTGTCTAGGTTTCCTAAGATGATCTATCTAGTACAATTAATTTTCTATTAGTATCTGAGAAAATCTGTGGTTTGGGGAATCCTGCCTTTTCAGTTGTTTTTCTTTTTTTAATCTAAGGAGGCCTTGAGGAATGACCACTCTGAATGGGAGATTGGGGAGGTGAGGGTGAATGCTCTTTCTTTGTTCCTGGTTTGGGTTACTTTGGGTGGGCTCTGTGCCTCAGCTGAAGACGGCAGTGACTGCTGGGTAGCCTCTCCTCTTGAGGTTGCGTGGTCCCCATCTCCTTATCACTTAGACCTACTGTCAGTTAGGGCCTTGTCATTGTCTAGCATGCCCTGTGCCTTCCTTGCTTCTCACATTCCCTTACCAGAGGACAGGCTGTTGCTTCCTGCAGCTCTTCGAAGACAGAGGTGGTGCACAGCTGTGGTAGTGAAGTGGTCTCTTAAAGCTTCTGAGGTTGATGGGAATCCAATGCTGACTCTTCATCCTTCCCTTCAATGTGCTAAAGGATTAATAAAATAATTAATCCTTTGTGGATTGGCACATTGATCACTCAAAGTGCATGGAGAAGTCATAATTGTCATTTAACTGCTTTTTTTTTGGAAAGCTCAAATGCATAGTAATATTATAATCATACAATTATTAGTTTAACCTGAGCACCTTTTATATGTTATTCTTAATCACTACTCTTATATTCTCTTAATGTCTTTCTGTATTTATCATCTGGTTTGTTGATTATCTAGCTCACGTATAGACAGTTAAGAATAAGTACCATTTTGTGTGTTTTAGTGTATGTGATGTGTGTGGGCATGTGAGCTAGGGCACACACATGCTGTGGTGCACTTGGTGGAGGTCAGAAGGCAGCTTTCAGGACTTAATCTCCTTTTACTGAAATCTGAGGATGGAATGTAGGTAGTTAAGCCTGTGCAGCTACTGTGATTTCCCGCTGACCATCTCACCCAGCCTCGGTGTTTTAATGTTAGCGTGAACGTGGGACATTTAAAGTTTCACAGACATTTGAAGAAGACATTTCTGGGGATGACAAAGAAAATCAAATTGCTTCAAGATTTCAAAATGAAATGAAATTGCAGAAAGAGGAAGTCAGTTCTAATGTGATGTCATTGAGAAAATGGAAAGATAAAGTGAAACCAGAATTTCAGGTGCTAATTCAGTTTTATTTTGCACCTTTGTCTTACTGTGTCCCTCAGAGTACCACAAAAGCAAAAACACAATTTCCTAAACTTCTTGGTTATGTACAAAGCTACAATAAAACTTCCAAGTTTTCCCTTAAAGTTTAGTAAGAATAGCATATTTATTGCTTCTTTCATGTTTAGCCATTAGTCCTTTTTCATATATAGTAAGGGACATGAAAAGAAAAATAATTGACTTTTCTTTTTCTAAGTTTACTCATACAGCTTTATGAGGGTTTGTGAATTAGAATAGACTACATACTGGGAAATATTTTTAAATTGACTACTCAAAAAAAAAATAATGGTGATATGGAAAGGAGGGCACCTTGGGAGTGCAAAATCTGTTTACTTTATGTAATCTTTCCACATTAATCTGGCAAGCTTTCAAAAACCTGCTAGTGCCCCGCAGACTGAGGAATTTCTGTTGACTTTGGCTTCCCAGAGAGGTCAGCCTCCTTCCAGATCTTTCAGCCTGTGGTCAGCCACTTTTGGCTGGCCTCAATTTTTATAATTTAAAAGCTAAACAGTGTATATGGCTTAAGTGACAAAGAATGCCTAAGAAATTAATACAGTATAGTGGACCTTTATTTTTAAAAAGCTTTAATTTAAAATATGTAATAAAATAGCTAGAGAGCAGCTTTTAAAATTCTATGTATGTTAAAAATCTGCTCACCTGGAAATATGTGACTTTTTATCCCTTTGTGGTTTCCTTGGAATTTTGTAATGACCATATGTTGGTGTTGAATTGCTTGTAAAGGGCATAAATGAATTCTAGGCATAATAAATAGTTCATGTGGTGGCCTCTGGTCTCTGTCATGAGACCACAGAAACCACAAAAATGGAGCAATGATATTATAGAGTAAAAGTAGATTCCCTAACTGACAAAACCAATGAAGGCAAGAGAAAGAAGTAACGGCAGACAGTGCCGTCAGACACAGTTTTACCTCAGCATTGGCAATATGTAGTTTTCTTTAAACAAAAAAGTCAACATACCAAATATTAAAGGAACAACCAAAACAAGTTGTTTAGTTGAAGCAATTAGAAGGCCTAGAGTCCTGCTAGTTAGTCCCTCTCAGCTCTCTGTGCTGGTCCCAGAAGCAACTTCATTTGAAAAGGTATTGCATTGTCTCAGCCTGCTTATGGCAGAATTTGGAAGGGTTAGTACTGTGCACATCTGTAAAACTACTTCCATGTCACAATCACCAAGAACACGTAAGAACCACCGTTTTGTTTTTATTATGCTCTGTGTAGAATAGAATCCATAATCTACTTAGGATCCTATGACCCACACATCTGTTCTGACTCCTTTCCATACATGTTTCTCCCCATATAATGTGCTTGCTACTCAGTTTTATCTGAGACTAACCTCCAGCAGTTGCGCCACCCTGCAGTCCCGTGTGTGTGTGTGTGTGTGTGTGTGTGTGTGTGTGTGTGTGTTTGTGTGTGTGTGTGTGTGTATCAGATGATGTTTAGACCTACTGAAGAGTATGACATCAGTGTTCTGTCACATCTCCACCAAGTGTCATCTAGCCTAATTGACCCTTTTGTCTCCTCTCAAGCATCAGTCCACCAAGTCATTTCAAGGTTTGCTTGGCAAAGCATTATGGTGCTGTGGGATGGTCTGTATGTCAAATTACTCTGATTGGTCAATAAATAAACCACTGATTGGCCAGTGGCTAGGCAGGAAGTATAGGCGGGACTAACAGAGAGGAGAAAAGAAAGAACAGGCAGGCGGAAGGAGTCACTGCCAGCCACCACCATGACAAGCAGCATGTGAAGACGCCGGTAAGCCACGAGCCACGTGGCAAGGTATAGATTTGTGGAAATGGATTAATTTAAGCTGTAAGAACAGTTAGCAAGAAGCCTGCCACGGCCATACAGTTTGTAAGCAATATAAGTCTCTGTGTTTACTTGGTTGGGTCCGAGCGGCTGTGGGACTGGCGGGTGACAAAGATTTGTCCTGACTGTGGGCAAGGCAGGAAAACTCTAGCTACATTATGGAATAGAATCCATGGGAGGCTTATGTCAAAGGTGAGATCCCCTCTTTTCTCTGTTTCATTGTAGTCAAAGAAATAACCTCTCGTGACCTACATGCCATGAGACACTGCTTTTAGAGCAGTGATTCTCAACCTGTGCATTGCGACCATTTGGGCAGCTCTATCTCCAAAAAGATTTACATTAAGATTCATAACAGTATCAAAATCGCAGTTATGAAGTAGCAACGAAAATAATTTTATGGTTGGGGGTTACCACAGCATGAGCAACTGTAGCTGAAAGTTTTCATGTGCTGGCCCAGCACCAAGGTCCTACAGCCAATTATAAAATTCCTGTGTCCAGTGTGGTCCTGCAACTTCTCAGACCCAAGTAAACACATAGAGGCTTATGTTAATTACAAACTGTATGACCTAATGGCTCAGGCTTCTCACTAGCTAGCTCTTACATCTTAAATTAACCCATTTCTATAAATCTATACTTTGCCACATGGCTCATGACTTACTGGTATTTTTACATCTTGCTTCTCTTGATGGTGGCTGGCAGTGTCTCTCTGCTCTCCATTTTCCTTCCTCTCTCTCTAGTTGGAATGTCCCACTTAACCTTATTCTGCCTCACTGCTGTGGGATGTTTTGTATGTTAAATGTGTTGCTCTGATTGGATCAGGAGATGCTACCAGCTGCAGCCATGAGTACCAACATGTAAGATACTGGTAAGCCACGAGCTATGTGGCAAGGTATAGATTTATGGAAATGGGTTAATTTAAGATGTAAGAACTAGATAACAAGAAGCCTGCTATGGCCATACAGTTTGTAAGCAATATAAGTGTCTGTGTGTTTATTTTATAAGTGGACTGTTGGACTGCCAGGGCTTGGCAGGACCTGGAGAGAAAATTCTCCAGCTACAATGTCACTATTGGCCAAACAGCTTTATTTATCAACCAATCAGAGCAACATATATTCACAGCATACAGACCGACATCAACCATCAACAAAGAACTATATTAAAAATTCACAGCATTAGGAAGATTGAGAACCACTCTGCCTTAGCATATGGAGCCTGATAGTCTGTGGATTTGAGAGAGGACACTATGGTTGTCCATTTTTCTAGTTATCTAGATTTAGGCCTCTTCCCACACGACTTCTAGCCATAAACCCACCTGAAAACTTACATTACTGTAAGTATTTCTCTTGTTCACGTACTGGTTTTCTGTGACAAACATGAATACTCATCTCAGACACATTTAACTCTAATATAACTCATCATTTTATTATCTTTTTGTGCATGCCTGTCCTTAGTATGTGGATATACAAATATGTGTGAGTATGTGCATGTATAGGCCACAGGTTGATGCTAGGTGTCTTTTTTGATTGCCCTTCCCCTTATACATTGAAGCCAGGTCTCCTGTTGACCTGTGAGCTCACAAATTTTGATTGGCTATCAAGTCAGCTTGCTCCAAGGATTCCCTGTTTATACCTCCAGAGGACTAGGATTGCAGCCAGGCTGCCTGCTGTTCATGCTTGGCATTTACATCAGTTCTGGGAATTGAACTCTGAGCCTTGTATCAAGTGCCAAGGCTTTTATGAGATGATTTATCTCCTCATCCCCCAATTATTTATATAAAAATCTATAAACAGATTACATTGTGGTAGATAAAATTCTGATTTTCTTTTATATTATTTTGTTAAGTTTTAGTTAGTTGCAAACTGATATTTTTAGTTCTTTGATTATTTACTCACAGTGCCTATCTCTGATTGAAGACATTTTATTAAAGCAAAACCAAAAATATTATTAGTACTGCAATTCCATTGATACAATTGGATGACTGGAATATCATTACTGTTCTGCTCCACATAGTTCCAGACATAGACTGTTTGGGCATGTTATTGGAATTGTATTTATATATGACTAGTTTTTGCATGGGATTATTTGAATAGCTCTATCCAATCACGTATAAGCAAAGGTAATAGCATTAATTTCTTTGCTGGAGTAAAGCTATGAAGTCTCTTACTTCTGGTATGTAAACTTGCATGTAGTGAAGGGGCTGTCACATCAGCCCGAGTTATTAGTGGGTGAGAAGAGATCTCACTTTGAACCTTGATCAATCTGTGATGGCCAAGAATCATGGAATTGATCTTTGTGGCTTAATACACAGGGTCCAATTGGTGTTGTAGCTTAACCTGACTATTACGATTCAGGTAATGACCAATCTGAAAAGGACTGTGGAAAAATCATGGTGATTATATTCAATGGTGCTTTGACTTCTTGTTAATGTGTTAAATAATCCAAGGTAGTTGTGTGATGACCATGATCTTGTACAGTATTTGAGGGAAGGATCTAACACATACATAACACTGTGTGTGCTCTGGAGGTGGCTGTGTTTGCCCTTTATGTCAAAGTCACTCTGAAATTCACTTTTTATTTATCAGAATAGGCTTTCCCTAGCTTTTAAAAAGATAATCTTAAATTTGCTATGAAAAAATCTTGTCTTCTAAAGAAACCATTGGTTAATTGTTATATATTTATACGCATGGTACTGGACTTCCTAAGAACATCCTCATAAAAGTACGTAATGCTCTTTAGTCATATATGCCCCTCAAGCCACAATTCTTTTTCCTGTTAGGCCCCTGATTCCTGTAGACAGGGTTACTTATTTTATGTCATACACATGAAAGATTTTATGTATCTATATAAAATGTAGGAACCACAAAGGAAAGAAAACATGGTTTTTGTCCTTTTGATACTGACTTAATTTGCTTTATATGATAATTTTCAGTTGCATTTATTTTTTGAAAATTATGTAATTTTCCTTCTTCATTGTTGAATATATGTCATAAATGACATATGAAATAAAATGTCATAAATGACATTTTGTATTTATACCACATTTTCTTTGCTGATTTTTCTACAGATCGATGCTTAGTTTGAGTCCATGCCTTAGATATTGTGGATAGTGCCTCAGTACATATCAGTGTGCAAACGTCTTCAGGATTTGTTGATTTAGAGTCCTTTGGGTAAATATGTGGGAATGGTATAGCTAGGTCATATGGTAGATTTGTTTTTACTTTTTTTGGAGGACTCTCTCTACTGACTTACCGTGTGTGGCTCATATTTGAAAAGTTACTTGAAGTTGTCTGTGTCTTAAAACTAAACTAAGCAAAGGATATTGTTATTCTTTGATGACTCATTATCGTCATTATCGCGGTCTAGTCAAGTGAAAACTGTTCTCTCTAGACTGGTGGTTTCAGCTGCAAATTGTTCTGTTCTCTGAACCCTTTCTTTCTGCTTATCTTCCTTTCTCCACCTTGTTTTCCCTTCCTCCCTTTGCTCATTCTCATTCCTTTCTCTCTCTGTTCTTTGACTTTTCAATAAATACGCAGCGGAGGACCTATAGATGTTGATCCATCGATTAACCACGGTGACAGTTTACACAGCCTCTGTTATTAATAAATGTTGATGGTTTTTGTACACAAATATTTCTATAGAGGTTCCTGGGGAGTTGGTAATCACTTAGCAAGCACTGCTTCATTAATCCTAGCAATTTTCGTGTGAGGTTAATTATGTAGCGTTAATTAACCACCCCTTTGAGTAGGTGGGTTTTTTGTCAGGGAAGTATTCTTACCTCCCCTGAGAAGTGGGAGCAAAAGAGGAGGCTGGTGTGAACTTTTAACAAGCCTAAGGATTGTTTATTGGGAAGAGAATAGTTCTCACTTGATAGTGGAGTGTTGTCAAGCTCAGGTCTAAGGCCTGCTCCTCCTTTTCCTGGTTTTCATATTTTCAAAACATGCAGGTTATGATATAGTCATTAATTATAAGAGGGACACTCCAAGGGTCAGAGGAGAGTATATAATCCACTGGACAACTGAGAAATTAAAATAGAAAGCAAATATATTTTGCTTTTCCCCCTTGATGTTTTCTGAAGAAAATCCAGGGGTGGAGCCAAGTGCTTCTGTTTTGACATGTGAGTGCATATGTGATATGTAATACACATGTGTTCACATATATTTTAAAACTGTGTGGCATCGCATGCATCTGTATAATAAGAAAAGACTAACATTTTCCAATAGTTTGAGAATATCCTCTGTGAAGTTGCACTTACTGACTTCTAAATATACTCGCCATTGGAGAATGCAGTGAAGCTAGACAGAAATGAAGATAAAATTTGAAAATTTTTGAAAATTCTCTTGTAGTCTTTCTAATAAAGAAAGAAAAAATAAGTCCATGGATTTCATTCAATATCGGAAATGATAGATTTTACTTTGGA